TCCCACACATGGCGCCCTCCCCCTTGTGTTGTGTGCACCACTTGAAATAGACAGAGACACGGTTTGTACGGGCAGTGAAATAATAACCTCCGACATGAGACAAACACAACGCGGTGACGGTCGTGATTTTATTTCATATCCAGTCAGTAATGACTGCTCTCGTGAATGGTTTGCGAGCATAACACTCATAGCTGTACTGTAATATCAAGCCACCCTCTCCCCCCTTTTTCCCATTCATCATGTCGTCACCGAGTACTAGGAAGCCTTGCCAAATTTGCCATTCCACACACATTCCAAGAGACGATGGCGGGCATCCGGTACCAGGAGAGATGAAGGGTCCAGCAAAAAGGGCAAGCGTATGGAGTTATACCACGTACTGATTTAACAAGTCCTAGTTCTCCCCTGAGTCCGAGTCGGCGAGAACGAAAAGAACGGCGACGAGGATGTTTCCAGTAAGAGAGGGAGAGCAGAAAAAAAGAAACACACCGACATCCACCAACTGTCTACTACTTAGTACGGATAGAAAGACGAGTAGTTTCGGTGGCATATTACGTGTACATATAGTATTACCACTACTACTACTACTACTACTACTACTACTACTACTATTACTACTAACGAAGCAATGGTCCGCCCGATGTTAAATCAAAATAGGGAAAAGATTCACACCGTATCTTTGCTTGGTTTGCATCTTACAGAAATGGCAGGAATAACTGGCAGGTGCAAAGGGTATGTTATAGCCAATCCTAGACAAGCCATCAATCAAGGGGCATGTGACTCTGTTGCCATTCATGATCGAGATTCCTTTTTTTCCCCCCTCACACGACTTTACTCTACTCCGCTCCGCTCTGCCTTGTTTTATTTGCAACGAGTGATTGCACCTTCCTTTGGGATTCAGGACTTATAAACACGTAGCACTGTATCGGTTATCAACTGATAGAGGGCGAGAGAGAGAGAGTGTGTGTGTTGCTTGGATGCCAACCATGTGAGACAGGTCTCCCCCACATACTCGTACAAGGGTAAAGGTGAATAGTATTATTACCACTTGGGCACTACGCCGTACCAAAGTTCCAATAGCCCACAGACACACATTGTCGTATTTTGCTCCTAGTAGAACGCCTCTTCTCAGTTGGGGGGACGACTCTCCGATGGTCAATGCCCGGCCCTGGTCAGGTTGGAAGCGAGTCAAAACTGCCGAGTGACCACTCGTAGTATTATTGCTCTCTGTTCATTCAGATATTGCCACCGGCTATTTAGTGCTTCAGGCTAGCATCAAGATGCCTATAGATACTCTATGGTCTATAGTCTATCGAATATTCACTAGTAGTAGTAGTACAGGTAATAGTGGACGATACCCTTCAACATTAACAATTCTACACACACGGACAGTCCGGGTGGGAATCCACCTTGGACCGAGGGAGGGGGTGGTAATGAGCCACGATATTACGGCACAGACGCAGCCATCGGAGCACCGTAACGAGGTATCCACCAGACCCAAGTGCGGAAGGAAAAAAACAAAAAGGTCGTAATCCATGAATCTTCTTTTTCTGTAATCTGCACAAACTACGAGTACACGGCGTAAGGCAAGAGAGAGAGAGAGAGAGAGAGAGTCCCGAGTCTTGTCCTGTATCAGACCCAATTTGCAGGGGGGTGGGCCGCCTGCCGCGGAGGAAAAGACCAACTTTGGTCTCAGCATGGGAGGTCACTGGCCCGCTGGTCAGCTGTTAAAGGGGCGGGGCGGGTAGGGGAGGAGGCGAAAGATTAAAGGTCAGTACGAGCACACAAGTATTGGTGTAAAAGCAAACTCGACAAGTGTGCGCAATCATTGCCAATCAGTAAGAGAAAGAAGAAAAAGTAAGGAGAGAGCGAGAAAGAGAAAGAAGGGCAAAAAAATAATAATCCACAGAAATGTCAGAGACAGGGTGTGAGGGGCTGGAGAGGCAACAACAGCGGCGGGCGGTGCGGTGGGTTCCTCCTTCCGGGCACCCACTGGGAACATGCGTCAGCCTTCAGGCCTGAGAGAGCCAAAGCAGGGTTTGTCGGGAGATGGAGATTTATTATTATTTCATGGAAACTGGAAACCACGACAGTTTTTGGTTGCCGGGGCCAGATCCTCTGAGGTGGGGGAGGACTTCAGAGTCAAGGCACGCCACACAGTACGAGTAGGATGGGACTACTAGTCCCTAACATAGTCGTAGCAATACTTGCTACTACGAGTACGAGTACGGAGTAATCTGTACTGATTACGGCTATGAGCACGTATTACGAATATATAGAGTACGGATATTGTGACAATTGTCGATACCCCAAATATGGTAATATGGAAATCACGGCCCATGGGTGGTACGTATACAGTCATCAAACTGACCTGACTAGTAATGCGCAGAAGCATTACAGCACCACCATGAGCTCTGTAATCTCTCATATCACCACACGATTATCACCTGGCAATAGCAGTAATAGTTAATACCGTACTGCAGTGATTATTACTACTAGTGATATCTAACAATGCTTATACCGTATATCCCGTAGCATCATCATGTATGATTGCACCAACACTCACAAACTTTCCTTTGGCCAGCAGGCACCAAAAAGGCCATCCTCTCTCTACTTGTCGACTCTCCCTGCGTAGCTCCGACGGCGTTGGTTTATACTCCGTAGATGGAGTAGCAAGGTCGTATTTCGTCGATGCCCACTCATTGCCATGTCCACACCACCTTTTTCTTGCCTTCTCTCTTTTACCCTGTTGCTCCGTACCGTAAAACCCCTCTCCTTTGAGTGACTACCCAAAGCAAAAACAAAGGTGAGACGGTGGGAATCACCATCCCTTCCCCCCCCCCCCCCCCCCCCCCCCCCCCCCTTCTCAATGGGGATTGACCTAACCACCGGTCAAAGCACCACCACGCGCGCATATGCGCCGTAGTACGAGACGAGGTGAGTACATACCTATTCTTCTCGTACAGTTTCAATATGTATTAATTTACAAAAAAAAGATGGGGGAGGGGGAGGAAAGAATGTGTGAGAGATAGGTAAAGGAGGGTGGGGACATTTTCAGGCGCAGCAAAGCAGAGCAACAAGTATTACAGTGCACCCCCCCTTCACCCTCCACCTAGCAGAACAGGGCCCTAGCAAGCAAGCAGGCGACGATGAGAGAGAGAAAGAGAGGTGGAGGAGGGCTTTGTCCACGGTAGTATTACTCGTACGAGCGCTCGTGGTCATAATAGTAGGCGCCAACAGTCTGCGCTTACTACTCGTGGACGTACGTACCTATGGAGTAATATCTGCGGGCGGGCAGTGTCCAAGGCGTACGAGCAGGGAAGTAATATTTAGACCCTACAGGCTATTACAGGCTAGACTCGAGAGTACCTACTGGTCCGCCTCTTGCTCCTAGGATGGGAGTGGACGCCAGCTCTCTCCACTGCGCCGGGGGGGGGGGGTGTGGGTGGTCACTAATTAGGGGCTAGGTAGAGCTGGACCATCGCCTGGTTTCCTCCATTATAGAGACCATGCTGTTACTGTACCTACGATTGCGACTAGTAGCTGTAGGAAAGTAAGAAGAAAAAAAAGACAGTACATTCGATACAGTCCGTTCCTCAGTAACTTTGTAATTACGTCGTGGTACTATGACGAGTACGAATACCTCCCAGCCGGCCAACCTCTAGCCTCACTAATTACCACAGTGCAACTACAGATACTAGCAACTAGATCCTACTACTCTTTGTCTACGACTACCGATATTCCACATGCATCACCCGTACTACGCCCATGTATCGGGTACCCGTCTACTACGAGTACTGCGGTACATGTGCCTATGACAACGCTCAGTACAAACCAAACTGCTCGACTTGCTAGTACGGATACGTACACAGCACACTCTCGGGGCTGGCTCGTACCACAGCCGCTCAACTGCTCCGTTGCTGCATTCGCCGGGGCGTTAGTACGAGTAGTTAATACTGCTGGGGGAGTGGAGGACCCATGGACCACCGATGGACGCCTTCTGGGCAGACAGGCTCCATCCCCAGCCTACACCCTCGTCTCTGACAGACTCCATATTGAGAAAGAGACGGAAGGCGAGAGAGAGAAAGAGAGACTCCGTCGAAAGAGGACCACGCACGGCACGACATGGAACATCTCTCTCTCTCTCTCTATCCCTCTCTTGCCCTCTTCTCTTCTTCCTTCTTCCTCCTTCCTCCTTCCCATCGCTGTCCTTTTTCCCAATCCTACAACCCAATCCTCAAAACTTGTTGACCCCCACTCCTTCCCTCTGTCTCTTTCTCACTTCAGTCTTCTCTCTCTCTCTCTCTCCACGCTTACTCTTCTCTCCCTCTTCTTCCGTGAACACTCCTGCACTTGGCTCCCCGCCGCGTGTTACGCCATATTGCCTACAATCTATATACCCTACTCATATATACACGTCTACTCCTCCTTCGCCTTCCTTCCGCCTCCCACGGCACTTGGCTTGCTTGCACTCCGGGGGCTCGTCTGCCAGTTCACCCTCCGCCATGGCTCTCGTCTACCCTTGATTCTTCAGACGAGAAAACTTGCATCGCCCTCGGTCGAGACGACGACAAAGAGCGGGACACCAACCGGCCCGAATTACATCAAACCCAGTCTTTTCTCACGGCCTCGTCGATCAACAAACAAGACATTCAACACTTGCCTTCACCTGCCTCTCACCTTGATCTGACCCGACTCTTCCTCCCACGAACAAGCGGACAGCCGTGTGTTTTTGGAACAAACACACGAGATATCCGCTAATCCCCGTGTTCGAATATCCCCCGTCACTCGAGATTGACCAAGCCTCGACAAACTCCATGCTGCTCAGGCCAAACTCACCTTCCCTCACGTCCATGCTGTCGATTCCCTCATCTGCGAATACCTGTGGGATATACGATATATACCGACAACCGTACCCCGCCACCCTGCCGAAACATCGTCACTACCGTACGCATCAAGCACAGGTTCTCACACTTGGGCTCAGGACCCCTCCGGTTGACGACATGAGCACCACTTACCATGCCCCGCTGGCTTCCTATGAGACCCACGCCGTCCACGCCTATCCGAACCAGCTGTCCCAGACGGTCAAAGCTAAGATGCCCATGAATGATCAAGCCAATGTCCCGGTCTACCGTCCGCAGCCACCGCAACAGGCTCATATGCCACCGTCAACCCAGCAGCAGCAGCAGCAGCAGTACCCTGTAAATTGGTGGCCCCCCAAGAATGCGCACACCGTCCCCTCTGTTCCTACTCAGCTGCCTTCGAATGTGACCTCGCAAACCCGTCATCGACCCGCCAGCCCTCCGCCGGCAGCAGACATGGCCATTGCCCCTGCCCATGGCCCTGCCCAGAACCGTCAAAAAGCTCCCGCTAGCACCGAGACCTTGGTCTGCCACAGCCTTGAGATCCCAAGGCGGATAAGCCCTGCCGGTGGGAACTTGGCCGACTTTGCAGCTCAGGTAAGTAGTGGGAAGAGCCCATATAAGATGAGGCGTTGGATGGGATGAGCTGGTGGCTGACTGCAAACCCTATCTGCCCTGCTACAGATGACTTGCCTCTTTTGGTTCACTTCTACCGACGAGTTGAAGCACGCCGAATCGATACGTACACTGCCCCCGGGCTCTCTCGTCGCCAGACTGCCGCCGCTGGCCAAACCCCACGAACAGTTCCGTAAATGGGTTCTCAGCATCCTGTCGACGACGCAGGTCACACAGAATGTCATTCTCCTGAGCCTTTTATTCATTTACCGTTTAAAAATGTCGTCACCGCAGGTCAAGGGTCGAGCAGGCAGTGAATATCGTTTGCTGGTTGTCGCCTTGATGCTGGCAAACAAATGTGCGTATACCCTGGAGATGCTCCCGGGTGGTTGACCCCCCGGGTGTGGAGGGAATGTGCCATGTCAAAGAGCCACGACTAACCGTGGGTTGAGAACAGTTCTGGACGACAACACGTACACCAACAAGACATGGGCCGAGGTCTCGTCGTTCGCCGTCAAGGAGATCCACGTTATGGAAGTCGAGTTCCTGAGCAACATGCGATACAATCTACTGGTCTCCAAGTCTGAGTGGGCTGGATGGCTGACCAAGCTCTCCTGCTTCCACGAGTACTACGAGCGAGCCCTCCGCCTGCCGGCCTCGCCGCTGCACATTCCGTCACCGACCAACCCCCTGGTCAGCTCGCCGCTCGTCTCGCCGACCAACGCTAGTGTTCCGTCCATGACCGACCTGGGACAGGGCATCAGGGGCAACAACCTGTCGCCGACATCGTCCCGCACCCCTAACTGGGCCGCCTACCAGACCAACGCAGTCTCTCCACTTGCCGGAAAGCCGGCTGTTAATCTCGGTCCCTCGTCGACGCGCAAGAGGAGCTTTGGGGACGACCTCGGCGAGCACCCGGCCAAGCGCTTCGTACCTCTATCGAGAGCAGCACCCCCGCCCGGGGCCACGGTCATACCGCAGCGACAGCAGCAGCAGCAGCAGCAGCAGCAAACGCAAACTGCACAGGCATTGGCCGCTCCCAACGGTATCAGCATCCCACCGAATCAGCCACACCAGCAGCAGCCTGCTCTCGCGGCACTCGGTGCAGCTGGTGCGACGCCCTCGTACTCGCAAGGGAGCTACGCCACGCCGGTCACTGCCCCGGCCGCCGACCACGTCTCGCTACCGCCGCTTCAGCCTGGCGTCCGAGCCATGGCTAGTCTGTACCAGCCGCAGGGACCGGCTTCCATCCCTCAACCTCATTGCGTGCCGCCCTCCAGCGTTGCGGCGTCGAGCCAGCCGCAGCAGGCCGGTTATGCTGCTACTCCCGCCACGCTCCCGAGCCACGCTCCCGCTCCGTTGGGCTACGCCAACACGGCCAAGACACGGAGCCCCGCGAGCCTGGCACCAGGCTCCTACGCCTCGTCGCCGATGGTAGCCGACCAGTTTAGCGGGGCGACGTCAGGCATGCATACGCCCATGTCCAACTCGCCGAGCTTCTACCTGCAGGAGCGTAACAGTCCGTACAAGCCGATCCGGCACGTCAACACGCTCCTGTACCCGCCGCCGTCGGCCTCGCTGGACCAGTACCACCTCTCTGTGCCTGTGCCGCCGACGCAGATGCACTACCAGCCTCTGGGCAGGCGACACGACGTTCGCACGGGTGTCGTGCCAGAGTTCGTCCTGTTCAACAGAACCCGACAGGCTCAGCCACAGCCACAGCCACAGCCACAGCCACAGCCACAGCCGGTCCAGTCACAGTATCGGGTGTAGATGTTGTGAGCTTCCCCTCCCCCTCTCTTTCACCTCTGCATCTCGGAGCCATGTTGCCTCCTCTCTTTCAAGTCTTGTCTCATTTTTCTCTATTCTTTCGCTTTCTTCCGCATCGCATTACTGCATGAGCATGACACGGACACGAGGGTTTCGGGTCAGGACTATGGGCGTCTCGGGGATTAGATGTGTATATTGATTTTTTTCCTGTCTCCAACTTGGTTTCTACACTTTTTTTTTATACTGCGTTCTACACACACACGGACATGCTGTATTTTTTTGGCCAGAGTTCTTGTCATTATCCAGGGGCGGGTATCTTTTCCGCCACCCATGTTAGGCGTAAAGATGGAATATAGCACACGCATCGAAGGGAGTTTTTTCTTTCTTTTTTTCTTTCTGTTCTTGCCTCTTGGCTGTTTATACATTTTGCTGAAAAGGAGTGCTTTGAGGGTTGTGTTATGGAAGGGGGGGTTGGGTTAGTAGTATACGGAAAGCTCGGATCGTACGAGTATGTACAATGGTAAGATGAATAAAACGAGTGAAGCTCTCTACCTACCTGTAAGCTCTACCTGTAAGGTGTACGAGTAAGGAGTGAAACATTGTGAGTGTCTGGGTGTGTTATCTTTGTTGTCTTGTTCGGACCTTGCTTTGTCCCTATCCAGTCCATGGACAGGTCAATATATACTCGTATATGGACGGATTGTGGACGGATTACTACGAGCACGTGTATAACAGATCTGCAGCTGTGTATAGTGTAGGACTCTAGCAGGGAGGGCAGGGGGGACAGAGGACGAGGGGTGAGTCGGACGAGTAGTCGGACGAGTGGTCTGTCAGGAATCAGGACTCAGAAGTGGAGCAGACCATCAAGTGTTGCATCTTGGCGCGGGCGAGACTATATGAATAGTTCAGAGACAGAAGGGGAGGAGGCAAGAGGAGGCAAAGTCAGGTAAAAAAAAAAAAAAAGTCTGAGTTGGGGTCAGAGGGAGACATGGGTCTGAGAGAGGTGAGAGGTAGATGCAGAGCAGACGCAGAGCAGATGCAGTATAACATGTGATACTCGTATGTAATATGTCTCTGGCGTGTCTGTTTTAGTACTTACCATCTGTAGACGTGCGGGTATGAGGGTGAACCATTTTTTTATTGGGACATGGAATATGACGATGTATTATGGAGTAATATATTGCGCATCTAGCCGGATGAGCTCGTATCGCACTACAGATTACTCCGTAGTAGTGGAACGTATTGAATACGACGTCACGGGACGATGAGAAGCAAAGGGACGGAGCTGATTTTTCATCTTCAGCATATTCCTCTTCAACTTTCGAAATACGAGAGAAGAGTGAAGCGATATGGTGGTTAATACCAGTATGCAATAAAATACATGGCCGTCTATCTCTCAATGAAAAAAAAAAAAAACGGATACAAAATACTCGCAAGCATTGATACGCGCCGTAGGTACGAAACGAGTACTCGACTTTGCTCCCACGGCAACGGCCCCCCCCCCCCCCCCCCCCCCCCCAACAAGC